GGAGCAGTCAATTGAGGGCTCAGGAGATCGCCTTGCTCATGGGCGGAACACTAAGCAAAACCGAGCGTTTTCAAGACACGGCCCAAAACAATAGGTGTCCGAAAGTATGTGGTTTGGGGCAAACCTTCAGTTTGGGACACCTAAAAAATGGTTTTCAAGACACGGCCCAACACAATAGGTGTTCGAAAGTATGTGGCTTGAGGTTGGCAAACCCCAGTTTGGGACACCTACAAAAAAAGAAGCGGTTTTCATTCAAGACACGGCCCAAAACAATAGGTGTCCGAAAGTATGTGGTTTTGCGGTGGGCAAGCCCCCAGTTTGGGACACCTACGGCGTCTGCAAATACATGCCCGGACAGCTAAATAGGTGAACCGGTGTTTTATACTAGGTCCGCAGCAGAAACGCCGGGCCCAGCCAGCAAATACACAAAAGGAAGTTAAACTGGTGTTTTGTACTAGGTCCGATTGGCAAGCGCCCGGCCGGACCAGTTCAAAAAACATCCGGAGTATTAAAACAGGTGGGAGTTGAAAGGTCGCATGGAGCCCAGAAGGTTGGAATCTATCTTTGGGAAGCTTAGAGAGCTTTTGGATTGGATCTGCGTCTTTAGTTCTGGACATTGGCATGAAGGCTCAAGCACCGTGATGTTGGAGGGCTTAGGTTGGCGCCCTTAGGGTGGACCCGTGACTTTAGCTGCAACAATGGGAACTTAACGATGAAGGATGAAGCACTGGTAGGTCGATCGGGGCCCGACAGCGCCATCGGGGCCCGACGCTGCAACCGAAGCCCGGCCGCGAGCAAACCAGCAATCCAAGCCACCAATCATAGTGCACAGCCGGATTTGCTTGGGATGTCGGGCTAGCTGTTAAGGCACATGCAGCCATCGCGCCCCGTCCCTGATCGGGGCCCAATCGGGGCCCGATTGCGCCATCGGGCCCCATCGAAGCCCGACAGCGTCATCGGGGCCCGACGCTGCAACCGAAGCCCGGCCGCAAGCAAACCACCAATCCAAGCCACCAATCATAGTGCACAGCTGGTTTTGCTTAGGATGCCGCTTTAGCTGTTAAGGCACATGCAGCCATCGGGCCCCGATCATCCCTGATCGGGGCCCGATCGGGGCCCGATTGCGCCATCGGGCCCCGATCGGGGCCCGACAGCGCCATCGGGGCCCGACGCTGCAACCGAAGCCCGGCCGCGAGCAAACCACCAATCCAAGCCACCAATCATAGTGCACAGCCGGATTTGCTTGGGATGTCGCTTTGGCTGGTAAGGCACATGCAGCCATCGGGCCCCGATCGTCCCCAATCGGGTCCCAACAGCGCCGGCCCGACGCTGCAATCGAATGAGTTCCACCCGGGTTCCACCAACCAGGGTTCCATGAAGTTTTGCAAGGGCTGCGGGGTGGTGCGGGGCGGGATTGAGGTAAGGTTCCAAGACAGTTCAACTAAGGTTCCACGAGACACTAAGCAAAACAATCAATGGCTTTCAGAACACTTTCACTGTATACACTTGCTCACGGCTGCGGGCACAGGGTTCGAAAAGGGTTTGACAAAACGAGGGTTCCACAAGATTTCTACAGAGCAGTCCTGAGGTAAGGTTCCACACGCGTTTCACACTCGGCTCCACGAGCAGGGTTTGGAGGTTCCCAGGTCTTGGTCAGGCCCGGATTGGGCCGGAACTGTCGGTGCCCGCCACCCGGCAGCCCTTGCAGAACTTCGTGGAACCCTGGAAAAAAAATTCTGGTGGAACCCTGGTGTGCAGCGAAAGTGTGCTCAAACCATGGACTTTCGGTTTTGCTTAGTGTTCCGCCCATGAGCAAACCCTTGCTGATGGAACCCTAGTTGAACCCTCGTGGAACCTTACCTCAATCCCGCCCCGGACCACCCCGCAGCCCTTGCACAACCTGGTGGAATGTTGGTGGAACCCTGGTGGAATGTTGGTGGAACTCAGGTGGAGCCCTGGTGAAACCTGGCGGAACCCACCCCAGACACCCCGCAGCCCTTGCAAACCCTGCTGGAAACCTGGTGGAACCCGCCCTTGCAGAACCTCGTGGAACCCTGGTAGAACCATCGCGGAACCATCGTGGAACCTTACTTCAGGACTGCCCCGAACCACCCCGCAGCCCTTGCATAAACTGTGGTGGAACCCAGACCTTGCAGAAGCTCGCGGAACCCTGATGGAACCCTGGTGGAACCGTCGTGGAACTCTGGTGGAACCCACAGCCCTTGCGAACAGCTGGTGGAACCCGCCCCGCACCACCCCACAGCCCTTGCACAACCTCGTGGAACTCTGGTGGGTGGAACGTGGAACCCGTCCCGGACCACCCCGCAGCCCTTGCAGAACCTCGTGGAACCCTGGTGGAACCCTGGTGGAACCCTGGTGGAACCCTGGTGGAGCCCTGGTGGAACCCGCCCCGGACCACCCCGCAGCCCTTGCAGAACCTCGTGGAACCCTGGTGGAACCTTGGTGGAACCCTGGTGGAACCCTGGTGGAACCCTGGTGGAACCCGCCCCGGACCACCCCGCAGCCCTTGCAGAACCTCGTTGAACCCTGGTTGGTGGAACCCTGGTGGAACCCGCCCGGACCACCCCGCAGCCCTTGCAGAACCTCGTGGAACCCTGGTGGAACCTTGGTGGAACCCTGGTGGAACCCTCGTGGAACCTCACCTCAGGGCCGCCCTGGACCACCCCGGAGCCTATCTGGGCTGAGACCCCTTAGCTTTCAGCTGTTGGGGAAAAATGACAAAAAACTTGCTATGAATGGTCTCGTGAACCATGTGTCCTCCAACCAATTATGAGGAGCATCTCAGCCATCTTGTAGAAACTTGGTTGAACATCCTTTCAACGTTCAAACTCGAAAACCAAACAACTGCACCACGTTCTCATGTGCGTGCCTGGATCAGTGTACTGGCCCAGTAATAGTCTGGCAATAAAGGCGCAAACGTAGTAGGTCGAGCCTCAGAGTTGCAGGCCATGTCTCAGCCTCCAAAAGGAAAGTTGCATGTACCCTGTAAGCCCACCATTGCTGGAAGTCCGGAAAAAACGGAGTCGCGCAAGTCAAGCAGCCTTTCTGTCTACGCTACTCCGCAGCTCAAAAATCAAGGCATGGTGAATGCTCCGAAGGCAAACTAGGATGCAAGAGCGCATCACACGTGATCTTGGCCTGATCCCTTTCGAAGTCAACCCTGCCTGCATCTGCTGAATGTTAAGACTGATGCAAAATGCTCTCCCAGGAAAAAACGCAGGGAAAGGGATACAACTTGAAAACCTTCCTCGCAGCGCCAAAAAATGCAAGACACCTGGCCATGTCGGTTTGCAACTTTTTCAGCTAACTGTCCAGGCATCCACGCTGATCACTGACAGTACGATCACCCGCTTGACTGCCTCTCACGAATCGCAATGCCAAATTTGCAGAATCAGGTGCAACTATGTCATGGAACCTGATCACAAGTCACTAGATTTAATGGGCTTTGCCTTGCTCAAGAAATGATCGATCGCTTTTGAATCTCTGTACGTCTCTGCCACCAGGCATCTTAGGTCCGGATCTGACTCCGCATCAAGCAGCAATACAAGAGCCAGAAGCTGTTATCACTCAAGCTCACACTTCCTTGGGGCGAGCAAACTGAATTTGGCACCTGCACCCCATCATCAGCCTTCCGGCAAAATGGGGCCGGGCACATGCACTGTGCATCTGTTGTCCATGGACATGAAGGTCAGAGACCCAAATTTCTGGCTCCGGCATCGGCCCACCTCTTCCCTTCACATGTTTATGGTGGCACCCAAAATGGACCGATCCCGAATCTAGTGCTTAGCCTGTGCGACTCGACGGAAGGTCGAGCAAGTGCCGAGCAAAACATTGATGAAATGCCCTCAGATTTACTTCGCAACCTGTCCGAACATGCTGAAACAACCTCGGCGCTGAATTGACAACCAGTTGGGAATGAGGGTCTCAGTACGGCCCTCAATCCCATGCTGGTCGCAGCCAAAAGCAAAAGATGCTCCTGGATCATTCCATCAGACTGTCGGGTGCTCAAGCCCGGTCAGCAGCTGCTGTCAGCAGGGCAAGAACCTGACAAACAATTTGAGGAAAGAGTGTGAACGTTCAGAAACTTAGACTGCTTTCTACAAGATGGTTGTGCGGTCAGAAAGCTCGGCAGCTGCATGCCTTCACCCTACACCCAGCGCATTCTAAGGATGTCTAAAATGTGGGACTTCTGCCTCAAAAGGCAAGAAGGCATCAATTTATGGTGGACGTTTAGCCAAATTGCCGCAAATATTGAGCTCAAAAACGTTGACTTCCCAATAAGCCTCCAATTCCCGGTCGCCTCCTTATGCGAATCTGCCTTCTTCTTCTGCATCACCACCTGAGCGTGTCCGTCCCTGGTAAATCACAAGGACCATCACGCAGCTGGCACAAGGCAACAAAACGGCAAACTGGCAACGCGCTTGAGTGTGCACGTGTTTGCCGGTCTGCTGGATTTGTGCCTGGCTCTGTCAGTCTTTGTGGTCTTCAAAGCTTTACCCGTGTTTATGAGCCAGCGAACTGCCCTACAAGGTTGGCTGCCTAACCAAGGCTCTGGCGGTTGCACATTGACAAAAACAAACAAAGCCAGCCTGACCTACTGCTGGACTTTTACGCCTTTTCGAGCCTTCCTCCTGTTCGTTGATGCACTCTGCAGTCCTGCTGGCCTGCAGGCCTCACGCTTGCGAAAAAAGTCCTGTTCTTGTTGGTGTGTGTGTGTGTAGCCTCTGTATTCATGTGAGTCTGTGTGTTGAGACTTGTTTTCAGTCAAAATGTTGTTGGTTCTGCAGCTTGGGTTTGTGCTCATCCCTTGAGATTTGATCGGATATTGAAATTTGTGCTATTCATTTCAATTTTCCCACCAATAACCACTTTCACCCCTCTTGGCAAGCGCATGTGGACACAGAAAATATATAATTCTAGTTCCCCGAATGAGCATGTTGGGAAGGATACATGGAACCCTGCTGAGTGATTGGATGATGTCAGGATGTCAGCATGCTCAAATGAATACCAAATCCAGCAGCACTCAACCAACGCACTCCTAGCTCAAGTGCCTCTTTGGCAGTCTTCCCGCTGGAATTCTTCAACGCCGGGTTGGCGCCCTGCTCCAAGAGTCCTCCTACCTCAGATTCCACTGGCAAACTTGTTTCGAAAAGGGTACACATCACACATGTCCGTATCCCATCTTTGCAACACGTTGGGGGAATCAGTTGACCCCCGCTTTGGTTCCAAGACATACTTGCTCGAATACTTGCTCCACGTTCACCCAAAGGGTGTACTCGGCAAAGCCTACAGTCCCTCAGGCCAACCAAACGCGCAAGGTCACTGGAGGACCCCGTCTTGGCCGCGTACCATCTTGACATTGCCAGCTTCGGCCGCCTTGTGCAGCGCATAGGTGCTGCTGAAAAAGGACTTCTTCGGCGCGTTCACACCGGTGAAGCCTACGTTGCGCCAAGTTGTGAACAGTTGGAGGGCATACATCAATGCCAAATGTGAACTTGTCTTGCAGCGTGCCTTGCTTCTTCAACCACGCCATAACCTCATTCTTGAGCTGTGCTGAGTCCTGCCAAAAACAAGTCGCAGCACATACCACCGCGGCAGCAGTCAAGACACTCATGGAGGAAGCATCATGAATTCGAATCAAGAATTGAAGGGTGCAAGAAGCAGACATCTTTGCGCAGCCACCGCCTGGTCCGCGCGCTTCTTCTCTGCTTCGGCAGCGGCAGCTTCGGCCTCTTCCTGCCCAACCACCGAAGGCAGTGCCGGATCACTTAGAAACTCATAAGACTGTGCATGTGAGGAAGGACGTCGTACCTCAAGTAAGGCCGCTGTGAGGAGTGCCACAATCAAATGTGCATATGCATTATTTTTCCTTCTTTGTTGTAAATGCAAGAAAAAAGTTACAGCAAGGAGTTGAACTGGTGATTCCAGGATCATTCCAGGTGTTGAGTGCCCAGTTCAAATCACTGAGCAGCTGATTGACAAGCATTGATGCTAGACACAATTGAGCAGTGCTCAAAGCCGATCGAGATTTGGTTGCCCTCATAGTGCTCCTTCGCGCTTTCGCGAAGCCCTAGTGCGCAAAAGAGGCTATCCCTTGGATCCTGGACCCACGCCTTTCGCGGAGCTTTCGCAGAGCTTTTGTGGTGCTTTTGCACCAATCCCCCCCCCCCCCCCCCGCATTTTCGAAACTGGCAAGCAGCCTGTGCACACTGATGAGCAAATGTATACACTCACGCCGTCCACACCTGCTCTTTTCTCGCGCTACCTGCCCCAAGCGCCGCCCGAAAAAGTAGGGATTTCGCGGAGCTTTCGCGGACTTAGTTTTCGGAAAACGCTTTCGCGAGCTTTCGCGATGCAGGGTTCTCCTTTCGCGGAAGCTCTGCTCAATTCGGAATCTTCTCAGAATGCAAACAGTGTCATTCTTTGCTGGCCAGCCTTCAGACCAGACCAACACTGGGTTGCGTTCAAGTTTAGCATCCGAAACCCAGCCGCCTTGGCCTTTCGCTCAAGCTCCTCCTGCTGCCTCTTGCTCTCCTTGCACAGAACTACCAGCAGGACGCATACGCATATGTCATCCAGCGGCCCTTTCGCAAGGTTCTCTATGGGATGGAGCCTTAGAATTTTGCACAACTTCTTGGACATCTGAGCAGTTTTCCTATCCACGGGGCTTGCAAGAGGCAAAATACTGGCCGAGTGAGTCCATGCCGAGGACACCAGTGTCCTCCTCCTCTGCCTTGCGACGCTCTTCATGCTCCTTTGCCTCCCTCTCTGCTACAACACGTGCAGCCTCCTGAACGCATCAGAAGCTCTTGCTCCATGCTCGGACAAATATATGCCATGAAGTATGCACAAAACACGAAGGAGCGCAAGGGAGTTGCACCGGAATCTATGTCGCCTCCTCCCTGAATGAGCTCCAAAATCGATTCCGACCAGGCCGCCTTCGCTGCCAGCTCTTCATTGATGCGCTTCTCCTCCTCCTCTTGCCCATGCCCGCTTCATAGTGAGAACATGCTCAGGTGCCCTCCAAAAGGCTCATGTCAAAGTGGGACAAGATTCCACAAGGAGATCATAAAGCTAGGGTTTTAACAGCAATTGATTAGAAGTGCCTCAAAGAACTTTGGCCATGGACTAGTTCAGAAAATTAGAAAGCTGAGACACAATTGACTGAAGAACAGGTCCTTGGTGCAGGGTGAACCAACTGAGGTGCATGTCTGGACAGGTCCCATTTCCATGCACACGCCCTTACTCTATCTCCAGTCAGGAACAAAGCGGATATGTCTGAAACATTGGGTATTCCACCAAGTACTTGACTATTGGGCTTCCTCTTGCTTCCGGGGAACATTAATTTTGACATCTGCCCAATTGCAGCCCTGATTGTGAGCAGTCCGCAACAAACTTTGCCGCTACAGTTGCGCAACCCTGTCCTTGATCTTTGCATCCGCCGCCTGCTGTAAGGTTGAGATACAGATCACAGTGGTTTGAGCTTGGGAACAGGATCTAGACCATTGCGGTGTAATGGACATGAAAAAAATAGCATGCGTTTGCAGGAAACTTCACAGCCGTCTTTGAGTCCAGACCGAACAAGGACAATTCAGCCTCCCTCCTGTAGGATCAACAAACTTCGATCACTGTCCCTTGCAACCACGACATCAAATCATTGCAGACATTAAACTTCAATATTGGGTACCATTATCGGTTCCTCTGTAAGACTCCGCACAGCTGCGTGAACGTCCGAATGGCCTCGGCATCCCGCTTGGCAATGTCCTCCATGCTCACCTGCACACAGAGCACCATCCACGTACAGCTTCCAACTTTCAAAGCCACTTTTGCCCTTAACGAAATTTATGGAAGGCAAGTCCTTCCCCAGTTCAATTCCCTGTGCCCAGGGCCCTGTCCTTCTCTGTCTCTCTCTCTCTCTCTCTCTCTCTCTCTCTCTCTCTCTCTCTCTCTATTTCCCTTTCTCTCTCTCCCTCTCTCTCTCTTTCTCTTTCTATTTCCCTTTCTCTCTCTCTCTCTCTCTCCTCCCTCCTCTTGGCACTCTGCGGGCACGGCCCGAAAACGCTTCAAACTCTCATGCTCGCCTTCACTGTGTTGGCAGTGGGGTTGGGAGGATTGCAGGCAGATGTGCAGCTGAAGTCGAACATGTCGTACCTCAGGACTTCAAGTCAAGCCAGACCTCGAAGCACTTCAGACAGGCATAGCTTTGTCGCTCATTCGAATGCAGGCTGACCCGCAAATTCCTGAGATCGGCACTAGTAGGTGTAAAAATAGTTCGGCTTCCGTGCTTAGTCTGATCCAGCTCGAGCAAAGCGACGGTGGATGGATTCTCAAGCAATGTTCTGAGAGCTTCTCTCAACACAATACTTGACGGCTCTACGACTAACCCAAGCAGCATCCCAATAGGACTTGACTGTAGGTATGCGTGCAAAACAAGATACACGCCATGTGCTTGATTTGGTTTAAGCTGTGGACATTGGTTGTTGCTCTTCGTAGACAAATGCCTATAGCGCTGCATAATTCATCCGTCTTTTCCACCCTTCTATCTGCATGTGCATAGCGAAGTGCCTCATACGGTTCCTGGCCTTTATAACTGCGGCATCGCCGGTTGGTACACCGAAAGTGATGCCAAACTCCTGGCAGCAATGTGCTGATAGCATGTCGATGCAGAAAGCCTCATACTTTTTAGCCAAAAGGTCTCTTGTAACTATGGCCACATGCAAAGCATCATAGCAACAAGCCTTCTTCTCTCACTATCTTCGACTACCAGCATCCAAACAACCCAACTACGGCACCACTGCTCCTGCGCTTGTAGCCTTTGAACATCGATCTCCTTCGCTGCAATGGCAGACCCCCACATCCGCCCCAAGACCCGTTCTCCAAGCTCAATGTCCGCAACCCAAAAGCTGGAAACGGAGCGAGCGAAATGGGAGTTGTTGAAGCCAAGCAACACTTGGCAGCCCATGCATTCGATTGGCAATCGAGACAAACCTGGGTTTCAAAACCCGCCTGCGGCCGGCGCAAGCCGAACCAGCTGAACAGAGAAGCCTCAGATGACTGCTTAGCTTCCACCCAAGCCCCAGCAACTTCTGGTGGCTGAAGACGTTTCTGACAGTCCTGGCTAAAGATATCTTGCCTGACCTTCAATGTCTCCACAGAGGCACTGGCTTGGTCTTGCGACCTGTGCTAAGTGCCACGCATGAGCCCTGTTCAGCCAACTGGGTGAACTTCGGGGGGTAGAGCCCTGACAGGCATGGTCACAGTGGCCAGAATATACATGAGGCTTGTCACATTGGCGGTCAGGACTCGTTCGACTCACGAGCACGGCTACATTGACATCAACTGCCTCGCCTGCGCAGACCGGGGCTGGGCCCAAGGCTCAGGAGCTTCCTGACAATCACCAAACAGGACTAGAATCGAGAACACCGAGAACAGTCGTGTATGCTCCAAAAACAAATGTCAGGATTCATTCTCCAAGCTCCCATGTCACCAAATTCAGATGACAGGTGTGCGATGCCTCTGCCGCGATGTTCGTTGAGGGCAGCTGCGTTGGCGCCTGTGGTACGGCAAGGAAAGCCATGCATTCTGTTCCCATTTGCTCTCCCGTGAGGATGATTTTGATGCAAGCCCTTCACAGACCATCGGGACTTTAGCTGGGTTTTCACAAAAATACAGGGAGATACACTGCCGAATGGTTCCAAGCTGGACCAAGGGGCGAAATGAGCAAAGCACTCGCAATTGCTAGTCATCCTTCCATCCTCCGAATCTGCCAAACCACAAAAGCCTGGCACTGTCTGTATTTGCGGCGCCAAAAACAGCACTGAGTGGGTGGCAGTTGTGCCAGCAGCAATGGCTGGCTGTGGAAGCTGTGCTGAAATGTTGCCCTCCTCGATGTTGTGGTTCGCGCCATCCGACCTTGCATGGTTCAAGCCGGCAAAAACAATAGAAAAGATCTCCGGCGGAAACCACACGTGCAAAAAGTGCAGCACACAGTTCAGTGAATCAAGGACAAGCCACAGCGGACTCATCGGAGCAACAACAATTGCAGCCACTCGTGTCTGACTCGGGTGAGGCATGAGACATGAGCCAGCATCTGCGGCAAGATCGCGTGACAAGCGTGTCCCAGAAGCCATCCACTCAGTAGATGTTCAAAAACAAAACAGTGCTGGTGGAATGTGACTAATGCAAATGCTCGCCTTCAAGCAACCCTGTTGTCTAAGAAAGGGTGCCTTACCTTGGTTACTCCCTTTGTAGGGTCCGCCCTCAGTGCTTAGAATCAGGCATGCGCCAACAGGTTATCCTTGACGAGCGGTAAAGATGCATGTGTATGTTTAGACCACATTAGATGTTTTTTGAAGGGAATATGCACGTGTATTTGAAGCTTGCATTTCCAACCTGAAAAGGACTTGCCTACGAATTAACAGCAAGCTCTGGCGGGTCGAAAAAAATCATCTAATATGTTTGTATGTACCTATGCGTGCGTGCATATCTGTGTCTGTGCGAGTGAAATGGTTGGATATTGCGGATGGTGTTCTTACTCTGCTGTTCGAGCTCAAAGCATCATAAGCCACCATTCTTTTCAAGGTTGGCCTCAAGCCTGGCGCCGGTTGCTGGATGTGCCGGCAAGTTTGCGTCTTCCGGGCGCAAACAATTTGGGTTGCGTTGGGGGTCTCAAAACAAGCTCCGAAAATGTCAATGATGTCCGGGTTTGGTTTCTTGAACCTTCCCTGTACATACGCGCAGCATCCCCAGCAGCATCGGCCCAAAGATCCAAGACTGCGGCATGAATCCGAGTACGATCCGATATGCAAAAGAGATGCCAAGGGATATATATATATATATATGTGTGTATATATAGTATATCAGCCTCCGTGTCCAAATTCATACAAATCAGATGTATTTCACAACATTCAACTTGACATATGTAGATATATATATATATATATGTATATATCTATCTGGACACCCCCCCCCCCGTGTTCTTTCACTTTTCGCTGTAAAACCACAAGCCAGATTTTGGTTAGATTCCATAGGAATAGGAGGCCAGCCGATGCATAACAACAAAAAATGGTTTTGATGTTTTTTTTACAAAGCCAACTGGAAACAAAAAACAGGTGCAAAAATACACTGAAACCACGGCCCTTTCCAAAACCGTATCAAAAACATACAAGAAAATTAAACAGATACAGAAAATCAGAAAACCAGATGAAACTGAGAAAACCAAACAAAATTTGAGGCTTTTGTGGTTTGTGTTCAGAAAACCAAAAAATGAGGAACACCAAAGAAACAAAAAAGACTCAAGAAAACCAAAAAAGAACAAAACATATGCGGGGGAGAACCTTGGGTTTTGCACCCAAACTTTGCTTTTTGGGCTATCTTGATTTTTCCCGAAAGCGTCGCGAAGGGTTCTTCCGTGCGGAGCCCTTGGACAAGTTACACAGAGCCAAGTTGCACAGAGCCAAGTTGCACAGAGCCAAGTTACATAGAGCCAAGTTACATAGAGCCAAGTTACATAGAGCCAAGTTACATAGAGCCAAGTTACATAGAGCCAAGTTACATAGAGCCAAGTTACATAGAGCCAAGTTACATAGAAGTTACATAGAGCCAAGTTACATAGAGCCAAGTTACATAGAGCCAAGTTACATAGAGCCAAGTTACATAGAGCCAAGTTACATAGAGCCAAGTTACATAGAGCCAAGTTACATAGAGCCAAGTTACATAGAGCCAAGTTACATAGAGCCAAGCTACATAGAGCCAAGTTACATAGAGCCAAGTTACATAGAGCCAAGTTACATAGAGCCAAGTTACATAGAGCCAAGTGGCACAGAGCCAAGATATTACATAGTTACATAGAACCAAGTTACATAGAGCCAAGTTGCACAGAGCCAAGTTGCACAGAGCCAAGTTACATAGAGCCAAGTTACATGGAGCCAAGCTACATCGAGCTTAGTTACATAGAGCCAAGTTACATAGAGCCAAGTTACATAGAGCCAAGTTGCATAGAGCCAAGTTACATAGAGCTAAGTTACATAGAGCCAAGTTGCATAGAGCCAAGTGGCACAGAGCCAGGTGGCACAGAGCCAAGGTTAGGTAGAGCTTGCGTAGACCTTCGGCGTAAGCAGCTATGTAAGTTAGTTTAGGTTTCTAAAGCGCCGGGGCGGGAGTTTGATCATCGCTCGGGATTCCGACCCTCTGCGGAGATCCGCGTGGTCGATGTTAAAAAACTGCGGACTTTTTACGATTTCTGAGGGGCGCGCGCGACCCTCTGCGGAGATTCGCGTCAAAAACTGGGGACTTTTACGATTTTTGGCATGCGCGCGCGACCCTCTGCGGAGAGCGCGCGACCCTCTGCGGAGATTCGCGTGGTCGAGGTCAAAGAACCGAGGTCCTCGGCGCGCGTGCTCTACGGGGCGAGGCGAGGCAGACCCTGCCGCCCATCCAAGAGTGGAGGCGCTTTGACGCCGCGGACGTGCAGCCGGGGCTGTTCTGGTGCGAGGACCTGCGGGAGGCGCGGCGCCAGCTCATGGCCGTCGGCGAGAGCCCCAAGGTGGCCATCAGCAGCCCGGCGCAGTACTGCGGGCTGAGGCTGAGGCGGGGCACCAGGATCCGAGAGCTGCGGGGCCAGCGCCTGGCCGGGCTGAGATCTTCCTGAAACTACTAAAGGCGAAGCGAGAGGTGCCCGGCGCGGCGGAGAGGCAGAAGACCCTGGCCGCGCAGGACGGCAAGTGCGCGCTGTGCGGCTGCGGGCTGACGGCCGGCACCTGCGAGCTGGACCACGTGGTGCCGGTGCGGCAGGCCTTTGCGGGCAGCGCGCAGACTCTGCAGGCGCTGTGCGGCGACTGCCACAGCGAGAAGACGCCGAGAGATCGCAGCCCACCAGCCTGGAGAGCCGCGTGGCGCCCGGAGTCATGGAGTACGCCCGGAGCCCCAAGCTGCCTCCCCTTGTCTTTGAGGCGCAGGCGTGCCACAAGGACGCTCTGTACGTCGGCGCGGACGTGGTGCGCTGCAGGCGCAACGGGCGGCTGGCCAACGCCCCCTTCCCCCTGCCTATCCTGCGCCCGGCGGACGGCGTTGAGCCCGTGGACGGCGTGCTGCCGGACTTGGGCTTTGTGGAGGGCTGCTGCGATGCGAGGCAGTCCTGCCTGAA